TAACATACGAAAGTGCACGAAAGGAGATTGTTAAGTTTGAGTGCAAAAGCACAGGGTGTCCAGAGACATCCCTCCCTCCCACAGGGTTTGCACAACTCCTGGCAAGGTATTTGCATATTCTTGCACATTTTTTTGGCTTCCCAGGAGGAGGCAGGGAAGGACCTGTTGAGGAAGAAGGGAAGTTAGGGATGTTTTGCTAAATCTGTCTGTTCCTCTTGCTTTTCCACTTCCTCCTGGTATCAGCAGCTGGGGGGATACCGAGGGAAGACAGACCAGTGAATAATCCCCTGCCCAACCATTTACACAAGGGTATATGGGGAGGAAACTGAAGTAACTTCTTCCTTGAGAAAGTTGTTTCCTCGCTCTCTTCCCACCCAATCTCCCCTCCTCCAGTGCAGGCTTCCTCTCTTCTCCTCTCCCTGGGTGCCAGCATGCTGCTGACAGCAGCTGCTAAGATGGCCACCCCCACACTCTCAGGCTTGCACTGGCTCCAGCCAGACCTGGATCCCTCCATGACAGGCTGAGCCCCAGCAGGGAGGCACAGAGCCCCATAAGCTTATGACAGGGGAAGGCAGGCCACAGGCATGGCCATTGCTGAGGGGCACAACATCTTGAGGGCAGGTAAAAAGGCTGCCCACCATCCCCAGCTGCCAGAGCTCCAACACATACCATTCATGCCTAGCTCCCATTAGTCCTGCCATGCTCCTCCATCCTCCTTCTCACCTCTATCTCTACTGATTTCCCCTCATACACAGCTTCTAGCAATGAGGGAGAGAGAGGGAGAGAGTGTGCTTGCCCAAGATGGCCACCAGGTTCTACACACACACCCCCACCCTTGCCTCCAGCCAGGAATTGGTTGCTGCAAACTCAGCCATCACACCTACACAGACATCACCTGCAATTTAGCTCTTTAAATCATCTAAGCTACCACTGGTGATCAGCTGTGGCCCTTAATGAGACATGAGTTGTCAGGACGTGAGAGCTAATAGTGCTGTGGCAAGTTCTGTGAGTCCTCCCAGTCTGTGCTTCACAGGACTGTGTCTGCATGCATCAGGTCTCTCAACCACCACGGTGAGCTCTGAGCTTTTGAGGGGGTCTTCTGGTGCCTGGTGTTCCTGTTTGGTCTATTTGGAGTGTTTTCTGCTGCTGTGCTGCTTTCAATTCCCCACGAACTCCTGTTGCTGAACACAGGAGGCAGAACACTGAAGCACTGGCATTGGCAAAAACCGCACAGCATGCAGGGCAAAAAAGCCTAATTCAAAAGCTGCTTAATCTGAGCCCCCTGCGTGAGTGAGCTTTTGCACATCTAGGGTCAAGTCACAAAAAAGAAAGACTTTTGGCTCTTTGCATGAAAGATTGTTTTGTATGGCAGGTGCTTTGCATCAGCGTCAGATGTCTGCAGGAAGGACTGTGCTCTGCAAGGAGTGATTTATTACAGCATGTACACCCAAGCAGAAAACCAGGAGCTTAACATGTACCTGACTGTGATGCTCTGCAGCATGCTGGGCTTTCCTTCGTGACAGAAATATGTCCTTCAAAAAGCAGAGTTAGGGTAAGGAGACCACCAGCGTCGTTTGACTTCTTGAATTTGCCAATTCTACCTTTGTCTTACATAGAAATACATGAATAGTGGAAACAGATTTCTTCACTCCCTGTTCAGACAAATATAAATATAGTAATGACAGTCAATGGTCATAAGATTATAGAAATTGAACTATGACAATTTAAAAGAGCCACAGCAGTGACTTGAGGATCTTTCCGGGAATTCTGCATGTCAGCTGTCCAGAAACAGTATCTGCAAAGCCCAGTTGTTCTCGTAAGGATGAAGTGCATGTGGACACAAGAGAATGCTGCTAATTTGGTCATGACCACATCAAATTCTGTCAGAAATACTAAAACCACCTTCAAATGGCAGCCCAATGGAAATGCAACAGCACACTTTTCAGGAAGTCTAACCCTGTCTGCAGACACAAAGATAACATAGCCTGATGCTACAAGAAAAGTTTGTTCCCATAGCATGCTGTAGCAATTGCAGGTAGAAGCTCCTGCCAGTATTGAGCAATACCATGTTTTTACTGAAAATCAGATACTTTCCAAAGTGATACTGCAGCAGGATCACTGCAGTGGCATGGTGGCACTTTTTCCCCAGACCTCCTGACTCTGGGTAGTGGCACAGCATTGCTAAGCAGCACTGCTAACTCTTTGCCTTGCCTTCTGACAAGGTTCACATACTTGAAATGTGATCCCCCAAGAGCAGCATAAAACCGGGCAGACTGTAAGTCTCTCAGTACAAGTTTGTACGAAGAGATATCAAAGGAGAAATGTCATTGCTGCTGCTGCTCCTCATCTGCCACGAGGAGGCAAAAGCCCCATGAGAGTGAGGAGGAGGCAGGAAGTGAAATTTCAGTGAAAAACTCTACTAACACTGACTTTCTCTTCCTGACCACGCCGCATATTTGCATGTGTTGTATATTACAGATATACAGAGCAACACTATTCTGACGTAGGAAGGAGATTGTCAAACTTGCTTTAACGATATTAATGCACCTGTCCAAAGGTGCTCTCCCACATACTTTTTTTTCCTATATATACATGGTTTAAGGATTGCCTGTCTCAGCCAATCATTTCTGTCTTTCTTCTCCCACCCTCACTCACCACTAATTCTGTTATGCTTCTCACCTGTTTTAGGATCATGTATTAGACTAAGATCAGTTAAATGAAGCAGGTTAAAAATAACAAAGAAGAAAAGATATCTTTATTTTGTATCATTTCACTGCAGTTTACACCACCTCTAACAATGGTAGTGACACAGCTGTGGTGGTAACAAGATCCTGACTATGATATTCTTTGTGAGCATTGAATTGGAAAGCCGGAGGTGTTCAGATAGGAGTGCCCAACCTTTCAAACCACTTCAGAGCACAGGACAACATCAGTAGATGAAAGATACCTTAAAAAGATGGACTAGCACTTATGGCAGAGAAAGTCAGTGGGGCCCTTTTTCTCCTCTTTTGTCTTTTCTCTATTTTTGACAAATTTAATTCTTAAGCAGCCGCTTTTCCTGAAGGTACATGGAAACAGAAAGCTGAATAAATGCTCTGATTAAAAAAAAAAATACCTGCCGTCATAAAAGTTGCACATGGGAACAGTAACACACCATTGCTATACTGGGATTTAGATGCTGGTTTTGGTCTACAAAGAGTCTGGAATGTCATGCTTATACATGAGAAAGCATCATCATTATTGATATTGCTTGTATATAATCTTGTGATTTTGTTGCTGCTGGTGCTGTTTTTGTAAAAAAATAAAACAGGCAAAATATCTATAAGCTGCTTTCAGGCTTGTGTGTCCTGTTCTATAAAACATTAATTCCTTCAGATTCCATCTTCACTTAAAAATAGCTAATTCCCCCAAATCACTCACAAACATCCTTCACAGAAATAAGGAAATAAGAGACAATCCTGGAAGCTGTTGCACCTGCAAGTGTAAAAAGAAGCATATGGTAGACATGGCAGATGGGCAACTTTCACAGGAATTTCATGGCATAAATGGTTATTTTCATTGTGTTTGTTGCAATTTATATTCTCAGTAGCATTCTGTCAGTTAGGGATATATTTATTTCTGTGTATTGGATGAAAGAGAAGATGACAGGAACTGTCTAGCATTCAGAGTTGCAAAGATGAGCTCCTTCTTTGATCATTGCATGATTTGTCTGGCACTGATACCGTGAGCAAACTCCTGCAGCCATGTTTACCCACAGAGAATGACTATATAGCTACATTTAGCACCTTAAAGCAGTTGTGAAGACCGCCAGATAGAATAGCAATAGTCACAAAGTCTAATCTGCCTTAGTATTAATAATAAATGCTTTATCATTAATGGTTATTGTTTATTTTCACAAAAAAAATATGATTTTTATAAACAAAATAGTGCTTAGCACAATGAATAGCATAAAGAACAGCATTTCTCCCACTAAGACAAAACCACTGCGTTATGTAACAAAAAAAATAGTTATCACTGGCAAGTGGCAAATATAAAACATGTGGCAGTGTTTTTTATCTCAAATAAGATCTGTCCAGCACTCTAATAAGCTTCTGAACTACCTAAGATAGAAGTTTTTGTAAAATTAAGCTGGAAATATCAAGCATTTCCAATGCTTTATTTTGACATCCAAAAATGTTTCAAAAAATACTAAGTTGTGCAGAAGGAGAAGTGATAGACAATGAGGAAGAGTCAAACAACCTTTTATGAAGCTCAAGGACACACAATTTTTCTTTGGCAATCTCATGCCTGCGCAGAGCTCCAGCAGCTTCACTGAGCTGTATTTAGGCAGAACCCTCGTGGTTTGGGTTTACCTTCAGCACAAACACAGGTTTAAAATTTCTTGTGAAACTTATTTTCTCAATATCGGTTTTCCTATCCTGTATCATCCTTCAAATTCTTCGATTTATGTAATGAACTTACAGGCAAAAGGACAGAAGAAATGTATGATCATAGTTTTTTAAAAAAAGTATCTCTGCATAGCAAAAGCTTTAAAAAACTGGCCAGCAGAATCTCTTGAGATCCTACTGGCAAAGGTGGGAGTAAGCAAACACATTAGCTGACACCTGGTGAGTGGAACTGAATGCATTGATTTTCGATGGTAGCAAGGGACTAGACTTGACCTAAGAGGTCAGTCCACTCCTATCTTTACAATTGTAATTCCCACACGCATTTCATTAGCCATTATTCTGTAAAGACTCAAGCTTGCATGCATAAATATAGCTTCACAGGACTCTGCAATATGCGGTAAATGCAATACTTTTAGATATCACATGGTGAATACTGCTGATGGCAGCAGCAAAACAGTCTGAACACATTTTAGTTCCCTTTTCCCCCACCACTTCTTGCCTAATATCCTGAGGAGGGCAGTTTTCTCCACTGATCATGATAATGAAACCCACAAGCAGCATTCTTATGCAAACCCTTGCTGAGAAGCAGAACTCCTCTTAGCAAACAGACGAGGCTGTTAAGGTGATAAACCCGTGGATTGTCTCACTGAAGGAGGTAGTTTTTCTGCCTGTATCAAAATATTGGAGAGCTTTGGGGAATCCAGGTAAATTGTTGTACATGTTTGTCTTAGAAATAAATGTGCAATATTCCAGGGGAAATAGAATCAGTACAAGGTATTACATATAACCTCATATAACTGGAAATTTTAATTGTAGATTTTTCTTACAACTAGTTGTATAGCTAAAACGATGCCAAGCTGACAAAATGGACTTTTCTCTCTCTCAAAGTTTTGTGTTTGGTTCCCTGAAATTTTACTAAAAGCAGTCCTAATTTAAGCAACCATTGCATTTTGAAGAATAACAGAAGTGGTATCACTTAAAGGCCATTATTTTCTAGTAATTCCTTTTGCATTATTTGTGGCTGGTTGGTTTGTGGGTGGGGTATTTTTTAATATACCATACTCTGGATTGAGATACCAGTGTATGTATTTTTCTAGTAGTGGGTCATGGAAAATACTTTTCTTTCCAGTGGTGAGTCAGTATGGTACTCAACGGCTTAAAACTGCACAAAATTTCGTTTAAAATCATATGGGATCTTGAAATTCTAGAAATATGGGTAAGAACTTTTCAGTGGCAGGAACTCAAGTTTTTCTTCCTTGAGACTTGGAGATGTTACATGATCTTTAGTGGAATAACCATAGTCAAATCAAAGATGTTCACAAGGCAGTCACTGTATACACTATATATAAATAGGGTTCTGAGTGAAGCGGGATCTGTCTGCTTCATTTCTGGGCAGGCTCACTAGAAAATTTACATTATTGTGAAAGCTGTTCATTAGTATCTGAGAAGAATAATTTTACATGTCCAAATTATAAGTATCATGAAACTCTGTGGTAATATAAAGCCATGTTAAAAAAAAATCATTATCCTTTTTCAGAAAGGGATATTAGATAGTCTGGTTTTATTGGATGAAGTTCTTGGTGGAAAATTGAAGCTGCCAGGGTTCTGTTGTTGAAGACTGAGTGGCCAACAGCTGCTGTTTTTCTGATTTTGATGTAGACAGGTACCAAAAAGAAGCAAAAAAATAAAAGTGAAACTTTATGTTGAATTTATCAGGACATAGGATGAAGAGATGTCCATGTATGAACAGATGCATAGGCTGTGCCAGCAATAGTTTGGGACCAAACTGGAATATCATCTGACTGCTCTGCTCAAGTCCTGTGCCTTCACTAGGCCTGATCTCAAACTGACCTGGAGTGCATGAACTATATTGTCCTCTCATGTTCCTGCAATATGATGTATTTGGTCTTATGATTAGATAACAGATGAGAACAAGTAACAAGAGAGGGATGACACAGGTGTAGAGGAATGCACAACGGAAAAGATACAGAATACAGTGACCAGGCTGGAACACTGTCTTGTCTAATTTTGTCAACTGCATGTCCTCATGAGTGTGCTGGTTTTGTCTTGCTGCTGTTAATAAGATGTTTCAAATGGTGTTTTCAGGACAGCATGGAGGCTGTCAGCCTCTCACCAGGGAATCCCTTAGATTTCTGTCTATCCTCTCCATCCTAGAGAAAAAAAAAAAAAAAACAACCAAACCTCAGTAGAATAGCCTGCCTCTTTGTCATTTAGTATCTGATGAGGGCTTGTTTCTCTTGTATACCAATCACTGTATTAGGAAGCCTTTTTGTTTGTGCAGATGCTGTCTTTCTGCCTTCTTGTCATACTTCTGCTACTTACATTCATAGGTACAGAGTATTGCAACACCTTAACTCCACTTTCCAAATGCTGTACTCTCTATTAGAGGTGGTCTTCTTTAACTAGTAGTTGTAATGAGACTCAAAGGGAAGAAAAGCAACTTGCAAACTGATCTCTTCTGGAAACAACAAAGTTGCATAATGATAATTCTGAAGTCTGTCTGGAAAAGGAAATAGTCAAGCAGTAATTTATAAGAAATTCAAAATGGCACTAGCATCTTGTGCAAGCACCTAAATTCCCTCAAATCCATTAACTTCAGTAGAAGTTAAATCAGACCTTTATATTCCAAATTATTTTCAGATCTGTATTTTTCTATAACTTTCATATGTCATTTTCCTTGCCTATTCTATCCAGCTCCTTATTCCTTATATCCTGTCCATGGGTTAGAGTTGAATTCCTTTAGTGTTTACCAGCTTCTGTGTTTAATTCACTGTTACAGAATTCATGAGTATACACACTTTTCTTCTTAAAAGGATAGCTTTATAATGTTTATTTCATTACTTTCTAGCAAACTCATCAAGATCTGATTCTGTTAAAAGATTCTGAGTTTTCAAAAGGCCTGTTTAGACCCTATCACTTGGAAATAGAAAGGAAATGAGAAGTGAAAAGATGGTGTTTTTTCCTTTATAAATCAGATCTGCATGTATTTCGAAGAATTGCACAATTCCTTGTACAGTCAACAGTTACTTTGACTTAACATTTGCTTAATTAAGGATCGTACACGCACACATCTGCTATTCCTTTAATTGATCCTGTGCTACTGTTTGAAGAAAGAGCAACCACAGGGAGAAGTTGAAGTGAAATGATCTTTTGGCTTCACCAAGACTGGAAAGTAAATAATGAGAGTATATTTATGCCAAAATAAATATTTTTTTTTAAAGTTTTTTATCAGGCTGCTAGTTAAGACTGGAATATTCACAGTACATTCAGGAAGAATACAGTTGGAATCTTTATATTTCTTGTGTTTTCATTACACTAAAGAAATGTGCAGTTACACTGTAAATTAAAGAGAATTGTACTTGTTTGTTTAGACCAAAGTGTAATTAAGATCTAGTTGTGGAAGAATTCTGTACAAGTGTATCTTGGTATCTGTGTGTCTCTGTTGAAGGCAGCGGGAGTCTGGGAAAGCACTGCTTATACAAATCTCCTTGATGAATCTATGGCACAGGAACTAAAACCTGGGTATTGCTCTAGATTTGAGCAAACACATTTGAATAATGCAACCATCTTGTTTCAAAGCAAATGGTACTGTGCACCTCAAGTGCTGCTTCCAGTTCAGATCAGAAGCTGAAAAGCCAAAAATATTTTGCAATGATTTTCCCAACAGGTACAAAGAGAAAGTTCAGAAAATAACCCAAGTACTTCTTGCATGAGACTCCTCTGTCCCATTGACGCTTTTCACTTTGGGGGGGAAGGGTGAACTTAATCTCATTTCAGAATCTTTTCAAGTTCCCATTTCATAACTTACAACCTATTTATGTGCTAACGGAATAGGTAACTGCTGTCACTTCTGGGAAGGGAAACACAGAAACTGTGGGGATTATAAGTAGGGCCAAAAACAAAAGATACTCTCTTTTTCCCTGTTACCCATCTGTCTACCTGCCAGTCAGGTTGTACATTAGAATCCACAATATGGCTTCTAGTGTAATGTAACTTATGAAAGCAGGAACTTGTGACATACATTAAAGAGAAGCAGAAAGATTTCACAGTTTCTTACTCTATTCTGATTCTCAGAGTGTTACCTTTACCACTTACTACTCACTGTAGGTAACTGAGAGAGACTGCATTGCTGATTGTAAACCCTTCCACATGCCCAGGAGCTTTTTAGCCTGGAAGAGCTTCTAAATCTGCACGACTACTGTGACATGTTCACAGTACTGGGAAGGAATTTACTGAAAGAAATCCACTGAAAGTCCTAACATGGCAGTAGGGAATGCATTTGAAAGCATGTATGAATGTAATTGATCTTGCTATTACAAAGACGTGGAAAACTTCTCAGAAACCATATAGCATAGCAAGAAAAGTTTCTTCAGAGCCACATGTCCAGCTTCTAAAAGGTCTACATGCTGAATATCTTGTGTCCAGAACATTCACATTACTGTAGTTTGACACAGTACATTTTCTTAAATTTCAAATAGAAGAGGTAGCAGAAGAATCAACTTACTGCTATTACTTTCAAAAGAAATGAGCTGCTGAGTTGGCCAAGCAGCTAATCAGATTGTCATTTATAAGTTATGAAGACTTCAGACACCGCATTAATGTTGAAGTTTAAATGGTTTAAATTTTGCTACAGAAATTAAAAAGAAAAGCATGCATTAGTACAAAGTCAAGAGAGATCAGAGACAAAAGGCTTTTTATTTTCTCTGGCATTGCAATTAGCTTAAATTTCTGTCTAAGTGGGTAAAATCAGTGCTTTGGGAGCTATTGTGGGAGAAATCTTGAATGATTAGTGATACATATACATATCTCTGCAGTGTAATTGTGTGTGTGCATGTATGAGTGCATACGCGTCAACCAGCAGTAGATGGCTTAAACCTGATAATCTCCATAGTAAATGTGTACTTCCTCCCTTCCCTATATGTGCAAAAGAGATAACAATATGGTGCTCTGGGGATAAGTTTAATATATGTCCCTCTTGTTTTGGCTGCATTTATTGTAAGTAACTGTATAGTATAATACAGTTTGGAAAGACTGAATTTCTTGGTGATATTAAATGACTGGGAAACTTAACTTTAAGTTGCAGAAGTCACAGGTAAAACTATTCCAACACAACAGGCAATTCATGTAAGGTGATACAATCAAATGGAAGGCAAAAGGAGCAAGACCCCCATTTAGAAGCTCTTGTTAATGAAGTAAAAAAAAATTACTGAGTACCCACTGAACTGTACGGAGTGAAGACACAGTTTATTCTTCTCTCTAAAATTTTTTTCAGATCCCTATTTATTGTGCTCTGTAGAAATACTCCTCTGCTTCCAAATGAATGATTCAGAGCCCTTCCTAGTTATAACATTCCAGCTTTATACCATTAGTCTAACATTTTAACTTTGCCACGCAAGACAGACCCCACTTAAACAAGTTATGAATCAGATAGGCCAGTGTATCTGCCGTAGCTGCACCCCTCCTGCCACTGTGGGCTGGGACAGTTCTCCCGGCTGCAGAGGGCTCCTGGAACCCAAAGGCGGCCCCAGCCCAGTGCAGTGGCACCAGCTCACTCCTCTGTGCCCCCGTCCTTCACTGCAGTGTGTTGTAATTGTACTGAATTCAAATGTATTGAGTTTTTGCTCTCAGTTCATATTAAGGACTTGTCCTGGTAGCTATTGAATAGGTCTGACCAATTAAAACATTTTTGAATGAAGATGGGGTTTATCCACTTGGAATTGTTCTACTTGTTGGGTTTTTTCCCCAAGAATTTAAGTATCTTTGACAGTATTTGGGTGTACTGATTGTCATTTCTTCCTATTTTACTCCACGTATTTTCATTTTCCATCCACACATGCACAGGTTTTTTCAGATACAAAATGAAGAAGAGAAACAAGGACAAACCGAGAGCAGGGGGAACAGCAGGGAAAAAAATTGGTGAGAAGGGAAAGAAAAACTGAAACACACACACACCAAACCAGAAGAATTTCTGTTTTCACAAAGGAACTTGCAGTTCTCCAAAGAGCTGGCAGGAATAATGCTAGTCTGGTACATAATCCCAGTTCTAATAGTGTCTATGCTTCTCACTGCAGGACACACGTATTTTTAGGCATACCTCAATTTTAAAGTAGTATATATTTTCTTATATTTGTTAGGTGTTCAGTTTCCAATTCCAGAAATAAACAGAAATTATTGTATGCCCAAAAGGAGCTGCATGACCACTCTCTAAAAGCACTACCTGCACTGAAAATTTTAAAAGATTGTATAACCACAGCAAGGATATAGCAAAAGGCTCAGCTTCTCTAACCTTACAGGAAGATGTGCTACAATATCTCCACAGCCAATCAGCAGTACTACAAGCCTCAGACCAGGAAACTCTTTAAAGTACAGTATGTGTGAACATTGCAACAGGGACTTTCTCATTGCTGCTCTTTCTTTTTCTCTTCTTTATATTTATAGGATGGCAAGGCAGATGTGAAGTCACTCATGGCGAAATTTAACGCGGGTAACAGCCCCACAGAGGACGTTTCTGGTAACAATCGACCCTTCAAAGTCCCAGGACAACCTATCCAAACGGGATTACAGTCGAGGAAAGCAGCACTTGAGAAATTTGCAAGTCAAGGAAATGCAACTTCTACTTCAGCACCCAGTACATTTCACAAACCTCTTCATCCTAAGCCTCCTCTGGGGGTCAAGCCGTCAACTGATGATAAAACAGAGAAGGATCCAAAGCCTCCATATTTGAAACCAGTGGCACAAAGGTTTGGAGTTCAGCTTCAGGCAACTAACAGAGAAAATGATGGAAAAGCTGGATGCACTAAACCACCCACAAAACCCAGTGACTTGGCAAAAGAAGAGCCAAAGCCTCTGTATCCAAAACCTGCAGGGAACAAGTTCCTTAACTCTGGTCCTCATGAGAAAGAAAAAAATCCTCTGGGAACAAAACCAAATCCAAATTTTGCACCACAGGAGAGTGAGGTAAAACCAACATTTTCAAAAGTAACTGAAGTTAAGGAAAAGTTCATGTCTGCAACACAAGAAAATGAGCCCAAGCCTCCTTTCTCTAAACCACCTCTTGCACAGAAACCTTCTCTAAACCAGGAGGTCTCCCACAATGAAGACACTTCTAATAAAAATGTTTTTCTGCAAAAAGGACTATCAGGGCCTAGACCAAATATACACTCATTTAAAGTAGCAAAGGAAATGGATGAAAATAGTAACTCTGCTGCAGAAGCTGCAGGCAGTCATTTTTCTAACACGGCTCTGAAGCCTACTGGTCACTGGTCCAGCTCATCTCAAGGCACCCCCAAAAACACAGAGGAAAAAACTGAAGAAAAAGGAGTGAGTGCTGCCAGGAACATCTTTCTCAACAAAATCATCCAGGAAGAATCAGGTTCTTCTCCTCCTAAGTTCCATAAAATGAATACAGCACTTGCTGCAGGAAAGCCATCAGGTGGATTGCAAGAGAAAGAGGATGGGGACAGGAACTCAGGAACCCCCAAGCGGAAAGCCTTGCCCCCACTGTTCAAGCTGGGCCAGCCCCCGCAGAAGCCCAGCAGACCCCCCAGCGTGGACCTGGAAAGGTTCCGGAAGAACAGCCCAAAAGACAGTGAGTAGCTATAACTTGTGTCAGGGAGTTTAAGTATTTTTCTCAACAGACATTTAAGTCCTGACTTCCTATAAATGAAATGTTGATGTTGTGTGTCATATTCTTGACAGTTACTGCTGGGCATAGCTTAAGGGCCACCAAAATTATATACTACAACCACACTTTTTTCTTTTCCTTTTTTGCTTTTCACAATGACTAATCCCAGCATGCTTTAAAGTTGTTTAGAAAGTTGAACACTATGCAAAATTACAGAATCAATTGTTTCTACATGGAGCTGCATCAATTTTATACCCAGATCTGAATCCAGAATCCAAAAGCATCTCCTGGACTTAATGTTTTATGTTAGGTTTGCACGATTTAAGTAGTGTGGCAGTTAGTAGCACCTGATTCTCTGCCTTACTATTTTTGTCAAGAACCAAGCCTCTGAACTTTCTGATGGTCATCATCCAGGCATGAATATTAAGGCTTGTCACTAGCTTTCTTTCACTAGGTAAAATTTGAGATGGTCTTGTGTGTGAATATATTTGAAATATTGGGAGGACACAAATCCCTGTGAAAAAAAGAAACTGGCTGTGACTCCACTCCCACAAAGAGTCCTGTCTCAACAGGTTCCTCGCACCACATAAGTTGCAGCAATGATATAATCTGTTTCTGAGGCACTCAAGATATGCCCTTAAAAATCTCATGTAAAAATGTAGTTTCCTAAAGTTAGATGAACAAATCCACTGTCACCTCCTTGAAGGAGAGATCAGTTTTGCAGAGGTTCTGAATGACATTAATTCTCCCTTAAATCACCTGTATTTCAAATTTTTGGTTAAGGTTTTCCTCCAAAGCTTTTAGGCACTCTGTGACAATTCTAAAAAGTAAAAATCAGCCACTCCAGTTGGAATGGGTGATGACAACTGACACATTTATATTACAAATTTTGTAGTGGCTGAAGAAGGCTTTCTCTTTTTTCTTCTAACACCAGGTGCTAGGAACTATGATTGCATAAGAAATTCTGATCACATTTTAAATTCAAAGTTTTAAGTTGTGTGGTTCCAGAGGAAAGCTGTTCTTGATCTTGCTGCATAAGAGAAACAGGAAATAAAAATGTATTATTGTCTTAATTTTTTTAAAATTAATTTCTTTTTTTTTCTTTATGTACTGCTGTCTGCATTGAGCTCAGGAAGCAAACAATATATTTAATCCTCACATATATTTTTTAAGTTCAAGTAATTTTAACTGGTTATGTCCTGCAACAAATTGTGTCAGGTAATACATACAGCTAAGTAATTTCTGATAATGAGGGGCATTTCACCTTCATTAGTCTGCCTTAACCACCTCTCTTAGATTTAGTTAAACAGAGCAAATTTAGACTCTTAAATTTTCAGTGTAGTCAAGTCAGTGGGAAAGGGAGATGCCCAACAGTGTGTTCAGAGCATTAAAGTTAAATGTTTGATGTAGCTGACGACAGATGCTCTGAATAACTCCACACTGTACATGTGCAGTACATTGGGTACATTCATGTAATTTAATTGATACAAAATTTGTCCATGTGCCTTCTGTATTCAGAATGCAGTATGGCTTGTGCTTCAGCAGTTTTGAATGCACATAAGACTGGTCTTTCAGAGACAGAAGATATTCAAAGGGGTTATGACCGGATGAAAAAGCTCAGAACTGCCTTTCTCTACAGACAAAAAGCCACACTAAAAACACAGTGTGTGCATGCAACTGTATATTCTGTTATTATTAATTCCATTCAAAAATTTGGAACATATCAGGAACATAAAATGTCCTTTCTTATTAGCTGCTATATTCTGATTTTCCTGTGTTACTCTACAGTTATGGAAATGTTCTCACAAATCCATGATCAGGGACAGATCCGTAAATTTTTGTATCTCTTTAAAAGAAATATGCCAATTTACAACAGTCTGAGCAGCTCTCCCTTCTCCATGGAGCACTATTCAGCATGACTGGCTTTACTCAAGTGCCCAGAGCAGTCTCAAAATGGAAAAGAAGCATTTGCAGCAAATGGCATCAGCAAATGTTTTGATTAAACAAAACCAATAAGAGCTTTGCTACCTGGAACTTTGAGAAATCCTTACAAAGGCTGGAAACATCCAAAACCGCAATTAATTTTTTTAAAAATACATTTTTTAGTGTAAGTAATTAATGGAGGAATTATTTTATTTAGTTGGTTGGGGTTTTTGTTTGTTGGTTTGGTTTTTTTTCTGGTTCCCATGCAGTTATAGACACAAAGCATTTTTTCATCCTTTTTTTAAAACTGAGGCTTAGAAATATTTATCCTATGTATTTAAAATTAATACTGTGAACAGAGCTGTAAGGATAATACCAGAACTTTTACTAGAAGAAGGATTTCCAGTTGTCACTGACCAGCGCTAGTGCAGCCTCCTGCACGGATGTCGCACTGGGAACAGGTGCTAAGGATGGAGCTGCCCCGTGTGGTGGTACAGGTTGTTCTCCAAACATGTTCCAAAATACAGTAAGAAGGGCCAGACATGGTCTTCTCTACTTGACCGTCTTTTGGTCATGACAAGACGGAAAGATTTAGAAAAGGCATCAATACGAAGCTATTCATAGTGGCCCTGAACTTCAGCCTTCCCTCTACATGTAGAGCTGGCATGTAGACCTTGATGTTCTGTTTGGTTTAAATTAATGCAGTTCATTTCTTTGAGGCCAGAACTCTCCATAGAACAGTTCCGGTGGAGAGACCAGGTGTTCTAGAGTGAATCCTGAACAAACTAGTTTTCAGCTCAACAAAGTTATTCATTGCTGCTGGGTTTCTCAGAACGTTAAACTCAAGTGATAAAACCTACCTGCTTTGGAAAAGCAGTTAAACTGAATTGTTTTCTTTTTCTTTTTTTTTTTTTTAACTGTCATTTCAAGAATCAAAGTCATGTCAGGAAGATGCCACCCCCATAGCACAAATTCTTCCTGCTCATTACTTTGCCCTGATAAACAGCAGCTTGCCTTAGTTGCTTAATTTGCTGCTGTGATTCAGGTGCTGAGTAAAAAGAAGAACAAGCAAATGGAAATGGTTTTCCCATCCAACAAAGCTTTCTGAGATCTAGCCTTTAAAGATTTGATCTGTACTAGGGCAAAAGTTTGACTGTGCTGTCCTTTAAGAATAGAAAAGCTCCACACATGGCAGTTGTTATACTTGTGTTAGGGGCATGTGCCTGCAGTGCAGAAAACCTTTTATTGCCTAATTTAAACCAGGAGTTTGAACTCAGCTGTCTCAGAAGTATCAATTCACCCCTTTTTCTTTGGTTCTTACCCTTTCCCATGAAAGCTGCTTTATTGTTTTTTTCATAATCAAGTATTCACTGGTCATGAAATAACTTTAAATGTTAGAGGCTAAAGGACTCACCTTAGATGCAGCAGTCTTATTGACATATGTAAGGAGGATTTAAACTGCCTACCACACCTGTATGAACACTAAGCTACGCTGGTTTGTGTTGGCCTTGCTTTGGATAAGAAATTTTCACGTTGTCCTGAGAAACCTTTCTTGATAAAATTTCTGCAGATACAAGTGTGTTGCTGAGGAAAGTCTGACTATTGATAAATTACCATTTTCCAGTGAAGGCAGTCTTTAAAAAATTCCCATCTGGGCCTGTGAATTCACCATGGCACTCTGGTAAATTCCTACATTACCAGCAACTTTCCCTGAGAGTAGATCATATGCACATCAGCTCAGAATAAATGAGATGCATGTGCTTTCTAGATTCAGAAAATAATACTAATGATACTGTTTTATAATAAACACCCCAAGTGAAAACAAGGCTTGATTAGAAAAAGAAGCAAAGTAATTTTGCTGACAACTTTCCATGTGAGGCCACAGCGGTACTGTTGCTTTCAGAGGAGCACTGCACCTGGGCTGACCTCAGTGGGATCGTGCGTGTACAGATGGCCACCCACATAAAGTCAGTTGAAGGCTCAGAGTCCCTAGCACTCTGAACACCTCTGCATGCCTTGTGAATGGTCAACACTGAGGCTTCAGCTAGGGAGAAGATACGGAGCCGCACTAGGAGGAACTAAAAGAAACTGTACTGAATATGGGAGAAAAGAAGACATGTAAGAAAATTCTCACAGTTTTTAATTTGGGTAATGGTTGTGTCTACAGTCCTTGTTGAGGTTCTGTTCCGCAATGGATCGTGTACCCATACAGTGACATGGACATTTGAGTTGGGTAAGACAACCAGAGAGAAAGGAGGAATTAAAATTTGAGGTGTATTGTCAAAGTTATCACAACACTCTGTTGGCAAAGTAATTAATAAACAAGCACCACTCACGAGGACAGTAAATGTCTTAACTGTCTTTGCAAAGCCTCTTAAAACCAGTCAATTGTTGCTCTCACTTGATGGCAAGATGAAACAGCAGCTCCAAAGTTATAAAGAAGAGGGGATTTTTTTATCACAGGATGTCACGGCTGTTTACTGCAGAATCTGGACTTAAAAGGTCAATGTAGGTTTTTTTTTTTACCTCAGTGCTAGATTGGATAAAGTTATGCAACAGCTTGGTATTAAGATGTAAGGGGATAAAAAGAATTGTAACTTGAGATAAATCATCTGTTTCTAAAACAGATGAAAATAAAAGTAGGTGATGATATCAGACAATACTGTGCAGGGTTGGGGGGGTAGCATAATGATGTGATGCCTCTGTTTGCACAGGTGAACTATAGCATGCCATAAAGCCCTGTACAACTGAAGAAAGTGTCAAAATCATAATTTCAGAATAGCATGATAATTATGTGCAACATAACACCTGAACTTTGCTATACATAGCTAAAATGTTGAATTTAAAACTATATCAAAAATTTAATGAAGTGAGACAGTTTGTGGGAATTTGAAGACCTTCAAGGCTTTTTACTTAGTCTTTTAATAGATTTCATGATATTGATGTCTATTATGATTTGTCTCCCGCACCTTACCTGAAAACTATGGAAGTGAAGTTGAAATTATGATCACAGAGGTCTGCCAAGAACTTATTTTTGCTGG